AAGTTCTTCCTCAGATCATCAAAAAACAGTCATGGAACAAACTTTGCCGCCACACGCCTAATTGTCAAATCTCCAGTTAGGATTCTCTGGCACAGACTCCAGAAAATTTCAATTATTTCCTCCATTTTGTCGGTTGTTTTGCGACTGTCAAACATTATGGCCTCGTGAACTTTTTGGCCATTTTCCTCTCTTCTGGACGCGTTGAGGGGCGATCTGGACGGAGTTCCTCTTCGAGGGTGGTTTCTGAACCGAGCATACCGATCTTAACTTCTTGTTTGTCCTCAAGCCTTCCAAAACGCTGAAACCACTTCTGCTACTGTTTCTCTTAACAGGCAGAACAGAATTTGATGTTGGCACGTTGCTCCTTAAAGTTTATTATTTTAAGATCGCCGGGACGGAGTTTTGAAAAAAGGCAAGCATTTCTCCCCTACTATGGCTTCACATTGAACTATTTGGCTAACTGAGCAGCAGGAGAACGTAGTAAACATGCCTAGTGGACGAGCTTAGCGCTGCCAAACATACTTCTCGTTTTTTGTCGGGTACTCCTCTGTATAGTGCCGTCAGTTCACTTTGATCTCTTTCTACTGAAATATTTTCTGCATTAGGCTGCAGAGGCTTTACGCTGTTTTATCCTGGCGGCGAAAGTTCTCCACAACAAATACTTTCTCAGAAAAGGGAATAGAATTTCTTGCGAGCATAGACTCATCGTGGTGGGGCTGTTTCGTTGGAATCTTTCTATCATGCCTGTGATCTTGTCCCCCTGCTATACGGTGGTCTAAAGCGTCGAATAGTTTATCTACTGGGATTGCTGTGCTTCGCAAGCTATGGATATGCCCTTATTCTGCTTAGCGTGACAGCTACATCGGTATATCCGTCCAGTAGTTCCAACGACGCAATTCAAAGCTCCTACTAGAATACCGTTTACTTTAGTTGTTTGCACTTTTAGACCGAGGAGCTATTTTTAGCTTAATGGATTAAGAAATCTGAAGCTGCAGCTTATGCCGAGGGTTGTGTTTGCAGTAGATGTGTCGTGCGAAATACACGAGGCTCCCAAATCTATCCTTTCCGTAGCATGTTTATTAAATGGAAAAGTATACATGACTTTAAACATCTATCATAAACAGCTTCCTGCGCTGAGTTTGTTTTGAGCAGTTAACAGTAGGAATCCTCAATCTGATTGGTATACACAATAGGCGAAACCAATGTGTCTTTCAAGTGTTATTTGTTTGCTTAGAACAACCATATTTTGTATATTCTCTTCACGTTCCTTGCACCCCACATATTCAGCCAGCGAATCTATTTACGACTGGGCACTGTTTCCTCATCACGGCAAATTCGTTGATACTTTTATAACGACTGAGTTTGTGACCCATGTAAGCTGCATAAAAGTGAAATTAAATGGAACTACAAATTTGGTTTTGTCATGTATTGTTAGGTAAAATGCGAGTTCGTCCTCGAGACCATAAGTCGGATATCCAAAGGACCCGTCTCTCGCGGATGCTGATGTACTGGTGCAGATGTCGGAATAAACTGCGTGGAAAAACGCCTTTAAAATTCGCTTTTCATTCATTCGAGTGCGCATTCCCTTCATCCTTTATCCTCCGTGATTCCTCAGGCTCACACAAGTCCATAGCACGTGAAGCTGTATTTTTGAAGGAATATTGTCCCAGAGGGACTTGTGTGAGCGCTGAGGAAGAATTTGGGGTATAGGAGATAGCGTTTGGATGTCTAG